GGAACGCCAATGCCGTCCCCTCCGTCTTATATTTTATAAATGTCGCTCTCTTGTCCTTGACGTGTTGTTTTACAGTTTTATTAAACCATATTGGTTTAGTCTTTGATCTTTTATTTTTGCTCCCTAAAGGTATACACTTTGAAGTAGCAGTATGTACTGTGTTTTTAAAACAATCCCACATCTGGTCTGTGTTTAGGTTTTGAAATAAGTTTTCCCATTTTATTTCCCCCACTAGGTTGCGCAGCTTATCAAAGTTGGCCCTTCTGAAGTTTAGGGTTCTAAAGTTGTAAAGGGGCACCTGTCCACTTTTAACCAGAGTAGTGCAGCCAAATAACAACCTAATTTAATCCATCTAGATGTCATGTCCTTCTATGCCAGCACTATGTAAAGTAGGCTGACATCAGGCATAGTCAACTATATGCTGCAGCTAAGTTGATGATAGACATGTGTGATTAATTTCGTTCCGAATAAAAATTCTGACACATTTTCTAAAATCCAGACACATCCAAATTTCAGAATCCCTATGTATCCGAATGTGTCAGAATCCGAATTTCCATTTCCGAATTTCGGATCCCGTCCGAATTTTATTCAAAAACGAAACTAAATCGAGCATGTGACTTTTCTGGCTAATCAGATGTGTTTTTCGGTTTAATGCATCTGAATGGGTCAGAAAACGAACTGAATGGCATTCGGCATCCGAATTCCAAGGGCTTAGGAGCTTAGTGAACGTTTAGCAGGTCAACGGGTATTTTTCTTTATTTGCAGGGACTTTACAGGGATACAACATGGAGAAGTGTGCGTGCATTGCAGAGATGTTCTGCACAGTTTTTTTTTTATTTTGCCTTGACATACACATTAATGTTTCAGCACCGGAGCTAACATGAACACACGTCATCAGAAATACAAAGTTAACTGCAGGTCTACCGAATAATGTTTAAATATTTTATCTTTCTATAAGAAACGAGGAATCATTTTCCAGTAAATCACATCTTAATGATTGCTATTATTGCCTGCCAGCATCTTTCCTGCATGAAGCCCAACTTGTGGGTGTTTCCTTTGCATATGACATGCTGACACGCCCCCCTCACCGTAACTGAGATGCCCACTCCCCCTGCATGAGAAGTGACGGCGCTGTGATGCACAGTACAGAGACCCAGTGGCGTAACCAGAGTAACCGGCGCCCGGGGCATGACAAACTTTTGCGCCCCCCCCCGTGATATGTGGGGGTGTACAGGTACAACGAGAGTATGCTGGGACATATCATAATTGAACTAAAAGTTCCAGCATGCCCTCATTGTCCCTGTACGCCTGCCAAATATGACCCAGGGAATAGTAACGAGCTGATTGGCAGGCTCCTGTCCTCCTTGTATGCAGTGGAGCCTGCAGTGGGTCCCTGTAGGGAAAGAGCCTGCCAATCAACTGGTTGACATGGCAAGTGGACCGTGACATTTTAAAAAATTTTAATCACCTTTTTATTTAAATGTAATCATTTTTTTTATTTTTTATTTATTTTTTAAAATTGTATTTATTTAATTATAATTTTTTTAACAGGTATTTTAATTATTTTTGTAACAATTTTTTTTCCACTTAACTCTATCGCTATCACACAGAGAGGACGGAGGAGAGAGGTAAGTGAAGCGGGGGGTGGCAGGGGGAAGAGGACGGACGGATTATTTTCCTCGGCCGCTCTGTAGTGGCAGTGACCGAGGAGGAGAGAGAACTGACACGGCGATCGCCGCTGCTGAAGCAGTCGTCCCCCCCGCTGAATTTCCACTCACCCCGACGCAATTTTTACTCGCCAATTGCGAGGGGGTGAGTTGAAATCTTGAGCCCTGCTCTACAGCATAGTGAAGGGCTTCCAGGCTGTCTCTGAATAAAAGCCATCATGTGCACATTGTCATTCCTTGTTGCTTCATGACCTGTTACTGATTGGCTACTGATAATGTAATATCTGATACATTCCCACAGATATAACCTACAGTATGGTTGAGAACTGTATTGGTAGTCACGTGGGGATCACCTCGACTATCCCTGATTCAGGCGTTGAACTAGGTCTGACTCTAAAGGGAAAGACATGCAAAAAATTGGAAGCGGAGACACAAAGTAAGTTTATATTTGCAATGTGTTAACATAATGCAGTCATGCCACAAAAAAAAACTCTGATCCTCTCTCTATCTAACTCTCTTCTCCTGAAATACTCTGCACCTCTGGAGGACTCTGCTCCTTCCTCTGACTCTCCTATCCTAAAATACTCAGCACTGCTGGAGGACTTCTCTTCCCCTATCCCACTCTCCTCTTCTAAAATACTCTGCATTGCAGGAGGACTCTGCTCCTTCCATTATCCAGCTCTCCTATACTGAAATATTTAGCACTGCTGGAGCACTCTGCTCCTTCCTCTATGTAACTCTTTTCTCCTTAAATGCTCTGTACTGCTAGAGGACTCTGCACCTTACTCTGTCTATCTCTCCTCTCCTAAAATGCTCTTTGCTCCAGGAGGACTCTGCTCCTTCCATGTTCTATCAATTTTATCATGAAATGCTCTGATTGGCAGGAGGACTCAGCATCTTTTTCTATCTCTCTTCTCTTGAAATGCTCTGAGCTGCTGGAAGACTTCCACTATCTATCTCTCCCTCTCAACCTTCCAGAAAATCTTCAACTACTTTGTCCTATCGGAATATCCAAATGCTGTGATATTTGTGCTGCTTGTGTATCATCAGATGATAATGTATGACGCTCTTTATGTTTTCCCCATTAACAGACGACGGCTCAAGTGAAAGTTCCATAAAAGATGTCATCACATTTGTAAAAGGAGGCGACACGGGATCAGCTGGGGGGTTATCGAATATATTTGATGGGACCACGTATCGTTTCTGGGGCCAATCCTTAAAATACAGCCCTACCGTCATCGAGTATGAGGTGACCCATTAAGTGTTGACTATCAATGAATTTAAGTTTACACCCAGCACCATTCTTCCCACCCCTGAAAGTTATGAAAGTGGGTGTGGCTTTGAAAAGGAAGTGGCTGAATAGGTGTAATTTAATGAGCTTGGAAGGATAGTGAAAGACTGAGTAAAGCACTTTCTGTTCATTACAAAATGTTGTATTCAATATTCAGACACATAGGGGTTGATTTACTAACCTTATAAACACACCACGAACATGTATACACCTCTGTAGTGTGTTCCCTCCCAGCATGATCTATGGGTGGAATCTAAACAACTTTGTAGTGTGTACACACCCAGCAGGTGTGTTGTGCAAAGCCCTGCATGAATTACAAGGTGATGTTGTGTAAGTTAGCTCTACGTTGTGTTGCTTGCGTTGATGAATGCAGGAATGTAAATGCATGAGCTAACCATTTTTGTCTAAACTGTGAAGCAGCATTATATATGCATCATGTGCATGATTTTTCCATATATGGCATTAGTGGAAATATGCTTTTAGAGACTTTTTGGTTGATAAATACGTTTTGCTGTGTGAAAATCACACGCACCTGGTGGGTGCGTGTGTTTAGGTTAGTAAATCACCCCCATAGTATCATACCTGACCTTCACTTTTACTACTGCCATGTTATAAAAAAAAAACTCCTTACAGAGACTGGTGGCAGGTTTTTGAAAGTACTAGAATGTCAAAAATGTAGGTCAACGTACCAGAAATGTAAGCTGCGGAAAAATTCGGTTTGGTTCAGATAGTTTTTTACTTTGGAATTCGGGATTCGGATCCGAAATACAATTCGGTTTGGGGTTTCGGATTCGGATGAAATCCGAATTTCCCTAGGTTCGGATGAGTTTACGAACGTATATTCGTTACTACTACCACAGAAAACTATATACAGATATTATTACTGGAGCTGAATCTCCTAGACCCGAATGGCATTCGGGATCCAAATTTCCGAATTGCATTCGGGAGCTCCCAAATGCCATTCGGGTCTGGGAGCCTCAGCTTTAGCAAAATATGTATATGGCTCCCAGACCCGAATGGCATTCGAGATCCGAATTTCTGAATTTCATTCGAGAGCTCCCAAATGCCATTCAGGTCTGGGAGCCATATACTGTACATATATTACTAAACCTGGGGCCCCCAGACACGAATGGCCTTCGGGAGATCCCGAATGCAATTCAGAAATTCGGATCCCGAATGCCATTCGGGTCTAGGAGCCTCAGCTTTAGTACAATATGTATATGGCTCTCAGACCCGAATGGCATTCGGGATCCGAATTTCTGAATTGCATTCGGGATCTCCCGAAGGCCATTCGTGTCTGGGGGCCCCAGGTTTAGTAATATATGTATATACTGTATAGGGCTCCTATGTTGCCATAACGAACATTCGCATTCAGACCCATTCGGATGGATTAAACCGAAAAACGCATCTGATTGGCCAGAAAAGTCACATGTCAGATTTAGTTTAGTTTTTGAACAAAATTTGGACGGGATACTAAATTCGGAAATGAAAATTCGGATTTGGATGCATTGGGGTTCGGAAATTCGGATGTGTCCGAATTTCGAAAAAAGTTGACAAATTTTGATTCGGAACGAAACGAGTTGCACATGTCTACTCAGCTGCTTTTCTGTGAAAGGGTGGGCTGACAGCAGCCATATTGTCAGTGTGTGATGGAGCTTTTAGAGAGACCCGACAGTGCAGTGTAAGCGAAGATACAATTTTGTCTTTTATTGCATTTTTATTTATTTATTTGATTTTGGCATTGGTGCATGTTCCTCATGGCAGTGCCTAGCTTCCCATGCCTTTTGTTTGACAACAGCTCATTAACCCTACAAATGGCCAGGACTGAATAACAAGATTCTACCTTCCTTCCCATAGACTTCAGAGGTGCCACAACGTTTTTTAACTATGAACAACATTTTGCTAACCGAACCCAGGCAGCTTCGCTCATCCCTAGTGAACAATTCTGGTTAAAGGAGAACTATGGGGTCGGGGGTTTTCCCCATAGTTCTCCTTAGGGTAACGGGAGGACACAAACTAGCGTCCTCCCGTCACCCTAAGCTCAGTATATAGGGAGCTGTAGCTCACGGTATACTGAGACGCCGCAGCCGGAGCGGATCCCCACATCGATGTCGAGATCTGCCCAGCTGCGTGGGTGACAGCTGGCTCTGCCTATCTAGAGGCAGAGTCAGCTGTACCCGCCCCCTCCCCCGTCCGTTCCGCCAGTCAGCGATGGCGGATCAGAGCGGGGAGGGGGGAATCCAGCCCCTCCCCTGTCACGCCATAGAGCCGTGACAGGATCGAGAGGTGAGCAAATGCCGGTATGTGTTCGCTCACCTCCCGATCTACTGAGCCGACCTGTGACAGTCTCATTGTCACAGGTCGGCCAGAACTATGAGGTGAGTGAAAAGCACCCCCCTCATAGTTTTCCTTTAAAGGCTTCCAGAAGCTGCTTCTTGCCTTCCAAATGCTTTACAAGTGTTTGATGTATTTTATAGTCTTAGGGCTGGCCTTGGACACCCATCTCCAGTTTACAATAATAATTAAGCCCTGGTGGTTAGGAGCAGCATCAGGAATGATGGCAGGGAGATCTCACTGATGAAGTATCCAAGACCATGGCTTGCTTATTAGACCTACAAATGACCAGAATTGAATACTTCGATTGAATAGATTGTCCCTATTATAAGTCCGGGGCTGACTCAGCCCATTAAGCTTCACTTCTAACAAAATGTTCCTTTTTGGCTAGACTGACCCTTTAAATACAACCTTCCACACAATGGTACACTTTTAAAGAAACGCTATGATAATCCTGGTTTATCCATTTCAGCTGCTGCCCATACATGAAGGCCTGAAAATGACGGATCTTTCGGGCATCGAGGCAAAGAGGCAGAATCTGAAGAAAGCCTATGACGAGTTCCTGAGCGAGTTCAATTCCTGCCGCTGCGGCCCTTGCGAGAACAACGGGGAGCCCATTCTGGATAACAACCAATGCTCCTGTCACTGCCCTGCAGGCTATGAAGGCCCAGCTTGTGAGCGCACTCAGCGTCCAGGTAGGTGGCTTCTTATCACATTGTAGGACTCCAGTACTTTCTAGAAGGAAACTTTCACTACGTCATCTATTGCTCTCTATGTAATGCTACAAATTACATCAGCTTGTGTAACTGTTTTCAGTTTTATTTTTCCTATTATCCTACTTGAAAGTCACCTTATTACTCTGTCAATGGAATGCAAACTGGCGCATAGGCCATATGAAGTATCTGCTCTTATTTTTGTTTCCTCACCACTGGAGCCCCACATAAAGTCTATGGAAATACCGACTTTGCTTCCCTGTAATCTTTTACTTCTGCAGGTCTTTTTACGCAGGTCGCATGAAAACGTCAAACATCGGAGTGATAACAAATGTATCTGCAAGTATTAATTTTGTGTTTTTGTTACAGGCACCAAAGCCAATGGCAACTGGGGGTGCTGGTCGTCCTGGTCCAGCTGCCAATCTGGAACTCGTCAGAGATCAAGGACATGCAATAATCCACCACCTAAAAATGGCGGCGCCTGGTGTGTTGGGAAGAGCGTGCAAAGCCAGTCTTGTTAAATTTGTGCTATCTCTCTACAACATCGAACCTTTCACTGTCGAAATCTGTCAGTCACCTATAAACAGAAATAAAGTGTAAATATGGGAGTATGCTGTGTTTTTAATCGGTTTTCTGAGTGGTTCTGTGCATTACCAGGAACATGCTCATGGTCTTCCTTAAAATGTTTGTATCTGCACCAACTTCCTGCTGAGTAATTGTTTTCAGATTACTTTTCATACCTCACAACTTTCTGAGATGAGAGAGAAGGACACCATCTAGCACAATTTATTTAGGCAATGGACACCCCCCCTGGCACATCCCCAGTTATATATAGGCAATGGACACACCCCTACCATGCCCCTAGTTATATTTAGCCAATGGACTCCTGCCAGGCCCCCACTTATATTTAGGCAATGGAGACACACCTGCCATGCCCCACTTATATACAGGTAATGGACACACCCCTACCATGCCCCCAGATCTATAAAGGCAATGGACACTCCCCTGCCATGCCTCAGTTATATATAGGCAATGGACACACCTCTGCCATTAATCAGTTGTATATAGGCAATGTCCTCACTTATTGAACTTTTACAGAGATCACATGACCAGGAGCCTTGGCCTTCAGATATGTTGCCAGTAGAGAGGAAAGCCTTGGGTGCATTTTCTCCAAGGAAGAATCTCAGCCCTTTTGCCAGTGTTCATCCATCCATGTTACATTGTTACACAGCTTTATGTTAACATTTGAGAAACACAGCTATAGGAAATTAGTTATGGGTATGGCAATGTGCAGCCCATAATATCTACACTCAGCCTGTTGGCTTGCTCTGATTGCTCAAACAGCTAACCTGTTGGCCTTTTCACAGAGTTTTCTCCTGTGGAGTAGCAAGTACTTAATTTATAAGCAGAGATTGATGCTGGACTCTTGAGCGCACCCCTGTTTGGTACCTATACACCCCAGATTAATAACTACCAATACTACTGTGAATACAGTTTCAAACTCATGCCTGTGGGCACTCTGTGTGATGGGATGACAACTGCCCCTGTATCCCACAATCTCCTGCTTGCATGCCACATGCTTTCCCAAAGGAAAAAATAAGCCTCTTTGCTGATACACATTGCCTAGAAATGTTACACTGTATTTACAAAAAAAGGCTTTAAAAATTGCAACCAGCAACTATTTGCAAATATGCCCTGTGAAAATACACATGCTGCTGGATAGCAGTGAAGTGCATGTAGGTTCAGGGACAGGCTGTGAACATTTCAGCCAGCACCAAAAAAAAACATTTTAAAACCACACAATCAGTCTGTTGTGGCTGTAGACAGTGCATGTGAGGCTGCAGGACACACATCAGCAGTATTAACATGTAAAAACCCTTCCCCCCTACCTCAAATGTCTCCAAAGTACACAGCATGTTGCTGTAAGGGTTCACATCTTCTTTAAGATACCATTACCTACAAGCCCTGTATTTTGTTGTGTTCTTATGCACTTTATCAGCAGCATTCCCTATCATTTTCACAGCTAATCACATTATCAATATGGCTGCTGGGACCCTCAGGCTGGTATAGACCAAAATACCAAAAACCAGCTAGCCTAAGTTCAGAGGCCAGGAAGTGTATTATTGGTAGTTGGATGCTATGGTGGTAAACGGCTGCATTCATTTACTGTGTCCATCAGTGAACAGGTTGGCTTTGCTGAGAACCCAACCTTGACCTAACCAAACCTGAAGCTCATCCCTAGTCCTGACTCCTGATAGACACAACCACCAGGCATCTTGCTGGCGGCAAAATGAAAGAAAGTACAGCACAAGATCAGTAGAAAAGTAACAATTAGTCTATAGGGGGGAGGTCTTTTCTCAGACACCTCTGACATTAATGGGAAAAGTGATAATATCCCTTTAACGTACATTGGGTTACAGAAGCCCCGTTTATTATAAATGGGGGAGCCAATGCACCACAGCATTCAAATATCAGACATCAACTTTCTTTTTTTCTATGCAGCACACCACAACACACAGACGGTTCCCATCTGCACATTGTGGCACATTGAAATGCTCATGCGTTTAGGTGTGCTAGCATGGTGCATTGGAATACCATTCAACATAAATGGCACTGCAAAGCACCACACAGTAGAATGTGAGGTCTTAAACATTGCAGTAACACATTACCATAACATGCAGCTGAAAAGCCTTTTTACAACCTTTTAAAACTGTATGTGAAAAATTGTGAAAAATTTAAGTATGACACAAATGGTCTGGCCATCTAAGGTGAAAAATGTAGGGTGAAATCTAGCAGTGAAAGGGTTAAACCACTAATGTGGCCATGACCAGAATGGCATGGAATTGCATAAGATAATAATAAAAATATATACTGTATATATTATCATCTCCAGGTTCCCTCAGTTTAAATCAAACATCACCCATGTAACGAAGTTTAATATTTTATTGGAATATTTCAGACACATCCTTCAGTCCCTATATACCATCCTTTCCCAGCATGGGGTGGCTAACAGCTTCTGCTGTCGGTGGACGCTCCCGGACAATCCTGACCCCCGTTTCTCGGAGAAGGGTTATTGCACTGTCGTTGCCTTGTTTGGACTCTTCCTGAGCATGATGTCCAGCTGGTCCAACAACTCCAATTTCCATCAATGGGGGGAGCTGAAAAATAAAATAGCAGCAGGTAAGGCTTCCAACGCCTTTCATGGATAAACATAGTGCTGAGATCCTGAGCAAATACAGCTGCTTGGGGTCCTGAAGTTTACCCTAAGGTCCTCTATATCTCAAAATCTCAATTTATTTTTCTCTGCAGTCTCAGGGTATGTGTGCCAGGTTCCAATCTAAACACCTAGAGATAGATGCTTGTACCCAGGGCACCAGGTCACTTCTGACCATTTTGATGCTCTAGACTGGAAACCTTCTTGTCACCCCTAACCCTACTAGCAAATAAAAACATACCATCACTAACATTATTTCTCTGTATGACCCACTGCAAATATGTAGACTCCACCAAATAATTGAGTTCAGGTGTTTCCATAAAGTGGTCTGCACAAAGCTTTGACCTCAACACAGCGGAACATTTTTTGGCACAGATTGGAAGAACCAGGTCTTCTGCACTAAGTCTTCACTTCCAATGTCATTACCTGACCCCATAAATACTGTTATGGCTGAATGGTCACAGACAGGGAAATGGATGTCCAACAAGCTCATACAGGTGTGATGTTCAAGTGTCCACAAACCTTTGGCCATATTGAGTATAATTCATTTTTTTTTTACTCATTTATTTACATAGATCTCCTCAATCCTTTACTTTTCCTTACCAACACCATATATTGCAGCTTTTGTGTCCCACTTGTCCATTCCTAGCTTGCCTTTCTCTTCCACTTGTCCATTCCTGGCTTGCCTTTCTTTACCAACAACATACTGTATATTGCAGCTTTGGTGTCCCACTTGTTCATTCCTAGCTTGTCTTCCTCTTCCACCTGTTCATTCCTAGCTTGCCTTTCCTTACCAACCTCATATCTTTCAGCTTTGGTGTCCCACTTGTCTATTCCTAGCTTGCCTTCCTCTGCACTTCTCCAAAATTCATATTTTATATCCTGTAACCCACCTTTTCTGTTCACCTAAACCCTAAATCGCAAACAGTATTTGCAGAGGGGAGAAATGGTAAAGTTTATATTTAAGGGGTCAGGGGATGTTGTGCTAAATCACTTTAAATGTACGAAGCCTGAGTTTTAATTTTCTCAGTGTTGTAAAACATCAGACTTTTATTGCCTATCTAGATACCAATCTTTTCTTTGGTGTCCACTTGTCCATTCTGTACTGCTGACCTTCACCCAGGGCTCCAAAATGGCAGTTGTAGACCAGTGCCTAGGGCAGCAGGAGTAGAGGGGCAGCACCAGTCCTCAAAATGTAAAGGTCGTGGTTAATCCTTACCTATTTTGTTTCATTATCTGACCACCTGAACAATTTACCTAAACTGAGCAACTTTGCTGTTGGTGGAACTTACGAAGGGGATGTTGAGAGGAGTCATACGGTTGTAATTTACAAACTCATGGTACGTAGATGAAAATAATTGCCATTTTTTTTTTCAAGAGAAGGATCTTTATGCTAATATGTTAGCTTTGCTGAATCTATTTAGTAGACTACTAAAGACTCCATTAGGAATGCAATTTCTGACACATCTCTGGTGCCTTCTCCATTTGGTGGTACTAAAGGAATCTGCCTACGTTGCCTAACCCTCCATTCACACCTAGGCGTATTGTAATATGCGCGTCTGTCGCGCCGACCGTCACGCGGGTTTTTTACCGCGATTCGCGGTAAAAAAGTCGCGCGACCGTCGCGCGATTCCAAAGGCTACTTGGCAGTATCCCAATGGAAAACACCCTACAAAATGGCCCAAAGTAGTCCCGGGACCTTTTCAGGCGTGGGCCGTTTTGTAGCGCGTTCGGGACGGGCGGAAATACGCCAAGGTGGGAACGAGTCCATTGACTCCAATGCAATTTATATTTTTGAGCGTTTTGTAGAGCGTTCTTCGAGCGTAGAACGCGCTACAAAACGTTCAGGTGTGAACGAGGGCTAAGACTGGAACAGGCTCAAACAGAACACTTGGCTCAAAGAGTTTGGAAAAGAAACCTGGCAATGTTTTTTTTTTACTGTCTTCACAAGTTCTCTTTGTGGCTCTGCAGACGACCTACAAAAATCCTAAAACAAACAACAGTTAGCAAGCCACGTCTGTTATCTTTACCTGGCCTTTTGCTGATTTCACAAGCTGACCCTTTAAACCCAGCCGGACAAACACATTCACAGCGATTCTCTGCAAAAACAAACAGGAACAGTATTATTGTGAAAGATATTTTCCAAATTTTTAGAAAGGTTTTTTAGTTTCTTCTTTTTTTATATATAACTGATGTGTTGATCACACAATCCTAATATCATTAAAGAAAACACACAGTCACAAACATTCTAGGGCCAGGGTTGCATTGAGGAATTTTTCATTTCAAATTATGCATTATTTAGCCAGTTAAGCCCTCACACCTCTACACCACATATGGACCAGTGGCAATAGCAATTGTGGCAATTTTTAGATTTCTGCCATGGATTCAACAATAACTTTTGTCATAACTTTATTTTAGGAATAAATAATTTTCTGCTGATATTGTCTTGCAAAAATTATTTTATTGAAATTCACACGCAAAAAAAAAACAAAAAACTTTTTTATACTTTGATCAGTGTTAGTTAAAGAAAACATGTTAATGTAGATAGGAAGCCTCAATTTTACCGGTATCAGTGCATCCCTACTAAATTTTACTCTATAATAAAGTTCTATCTAACTCAGTTAACTGTTTAAAAAAATCTGGATGTATTCCTAAATGCACAGAATATTACTGGATATGGAGTTCTTATAGGTATAATAAGCACCAGAGATTGTTGATCGAGGAAATATCTGATTACCTTATGGGGTCAGGAAGGAACACTATGCCCACAGTGGGTGACTGGGGGCATAGTGTTCTGTTTTAGGGGGGGGGGGGTTCTATAAGTTGGACTCTGGACTTTTTTCAGCCTGACTAACTATGTAACATAAACAATGTTACTTGTTACTTTATCTCCCTCTGATCAATGTTCCTTTGTATCTCTCTAGCTCCCCTCTGATCAATGTTCCTTTGTATCTCTCTAGCTCCCCTCTGATCAATGTTCCTTTGTATCTCTCTAGCTCCCCTCTGATCAATGTTCCTTTGTATCTCTCTAGCTCCCCTCTGATCAATGTTCCTTTGTATCTCTCTAGCTCCCCTCTGATCAATGTTCCTTTGTATCTCTCTAGCTCCCCTCTGATCAATGTTCCTTTGTATCTCTCTAGCTCCCCTCTGATCAATGTTCCTTTGTATCTCTCTAGCTCCCCTCTGATCAATGTTCCTTTGTATCTCTCTAGCTCCCCTCTGATCAATGTTCCTTTGTATCTCTCTAGCTCCCCTCTGATCAATGTTCCTTTGTATCTCTCTAGCTCCCCTCTGATCAATGTTCCTTTGTATCTCTCTAGCTCCCCTCTGATCAATGTTCCTTTGTATCTCTCTAGCTCCCCTCTGATCAATGTTCCTTTGTATCTCTCTAGCTCCCCTCTGATCAATGTTCCTTTGTATCTCTCTAGCTCCCCTCTGATCAATGTTCCTTTGTATCTCTCTAGCTCCCCTCTGATCAATGTTCCTTTGTATCTCTCTAGCTCCCCTCTGATCAATGTTCCTTTGTATCTCTCTAGCTCCCCTCTGATCAATGTTCCTTTGTATCTCTCTAGCTCCCCTCTGATCAATGTTCCTTTGTATCTCTCTAGCTCCCCTCTGATCAATGTTCCTTTGTATCTCTCTAGCTCCCCTCTGATCAATGTTCCTTTGTATCTCTCTAGCTCCCCTCTGATCAATGTTCCTTTGTATCTCTCTAGCTCCCCTCTGATCAATGTTCCTTTGTATCTCTCTAGCTCCCCTCTGATCAATGTTCCTTTGTATCTCTCTAGCTCCCCTCTGATCAATGTTCCTTTGTATCTCTCTAGCTCCCCTCTGATCAATGTTCCTTTGTATCTCTCTAGCTCCCCTCTGATCAATGTTCCTTTGTATCTCTCTAGCTCCCCTCTGATCAATGTTCCTTTGTATCTCTCTAGCTCCCCTCTGATCAATGTTCCTTTGTATCTCTCTAGCTCCCCTCTGATCAATGTTCCTTTGTATCTCTCTATCTCCCTCTGAGCAATGATATAAACAATGTTACTTTGTATCTCTATATCAAACATCTGAATAGTGTTTAAAAACATTGTGTCAGCTGATTCTTTGCAACAGCAGCCACTGTAACAGCAACTCCTGGCTGCCATTTTGACAGATCCCTTCCTGTGGAAGCTGTTTTTTTTAAAACTTATATTTGGGGGTAATAAGCAGCACTGATCTGAATTCCTCCTTATTTAGCTTCTGAGATTTGTACCTTTGAAGACGGCAACACCATTATTTTCGCACGGGGCACAGCGGCAGGACATGGTCTCCTTTTCAAATTCCTCCAGGGCGCGTTTCATATTCTCCTGCAGAGTGTTGCCCCCGATGAAGTCCGTTGCTGTCACCAATTCATACAAAGGGCTGGCCTGTGGGGCAAAAGGGGAGAAAAGGAGGGAAGCAAGAGGCAGCTTTTTTTTATAACATAAAACAATGATGGGGTTTGGTAAATTTGATTTTGTGCATTACATGTTTTCTTTTTTTTTCATGGCAGGTCAACTTTAAAGGATATCTAAACCCAAGAACAAAAATGTAATATATTGCAGCTTACTAGTATTTAGATATATTGGCTGCTTTAGTTTTAATTTTTCAGGTTAAATAAATCTTCTACACAAAAGTATTCTTGTAGTTCCCGTCAGAAATTCAGTGTCTTTGTAACTTCCTGAAATCTAAGGGTCACTGTACACATTACAATCTTGCTGTACAATCAACTTTAGATCTACCAAACTATGTAATATAAGTACCTTCCTAAACTATTCATTCAATATGCATCCAATCAGTTAAGCCTTTGTGTTACATACTTGTTGGTAAGGCCCCATTTACATGTAGCGACATACCTTTGCAGCGGCCGGCATAGCGCGACTTTCGGGGCGACGTTCCAGCGACGATCCAGCGACGGTAGCGCGACCTTCTCCGTCGGGCTCCATAGAAAAAAAGCAAAATCCGCCGAAAAAAGGGTCCGGTAGAAGCGACTTGCGACCGCGACGAGCGACACGCGACATGGAGCTAAGACAGCTCCATTGACTATCATTAGCCGGCGACTTCTCGCGATATCGCGCGGCAAAAATGCGCGATATCGCGGTGGAAATCGCGCGATAAGTCGCTACATGTGAACGGGGCCTAAATCTAATCTGATTATAATATGTGTGTGTTGAGCCTAAAACAATGTTACCAGACTTCACAGTTCTCCTTTATGAACCACAGAACATCTCCCCCCTATGTTATGGATATGAATAGTCCCTACAGACTGCCTGTGACAATGCTGCTCCTCCATAGATACTAGGGATGCACCTATAACGGTATTTCGATATCGAGTACGAGTACCGATATTTTTTTTCCGGTACTCGCTGATACCGAATACCAATGCTGGAGGTCCCATTCAGGAAGCCAGGCAGCGTGTAGAGATTCGCCATCCGGCTTCCCAATTAGCAGGGAAGCCAGGCAGCGTGTAATGGATTGGCCAGGAAGCCGGCTCCATGCTCCCTCGTTTTGAGCTGACGAGGGAGCATGAAGCTGGCTTCCCGGCCAATCAGAAAGCCGGCTTCCTGTCACAAGTGACGAGGGAGTATGGAGCCGGACAGCGTGTAATGACTCACTGCTCGGCTTCCTGGTACCGGAAGTAGCGGGCTAGGCATCAGAGCATTTGGGCGAGTACTCGTACTCTCCCAGATACTCTGCACCAAATACTCAGCATCGGCATAGTATCGGTATCGGTGCATCACTAATAGATACAGTGCAGTGAGTGAGCATTGTCACCTGAGAACAGGAAGCGTGTTACTGGCAGGATCATTAGGTGAAAAAAATGAAAGCCTGAAGAAAGAAAACTAATGCAGCCACCAAGGACTGACAAGATGCAATATATTACATTTTTATTTTTGGTTTACATACCCCGTAATCTAAACAGTCTTTATCACAGAGCAAGGGAGGGTTTAAGGCCCCATTCACACGACAATCAAACCGCACGTACAGCTCCGTATCGGGCATGTGATTAGTATGCAGCCCCCGTCCTTCTCTATGGGACTACACGGCCATACGCCCCCCTACGCTCATCCATCCTGCACGTCCGTAGGGGTGCGGGTGAGCGTACTCTTACACTGACAGGATGGATCCTGTCTGCGTCCGAGTGAGGAAACACGCACCCACACGGACCTGCACTTGAGGTGAACTTAGGGGGGCGTACGGCCGCATACTCCCATAGAGAATTACGGGGGCTGCGTACTAATCACATGCAGCACCTGTCCTTCTCGGGAGCTGCACGCAGCACAGAGCTGTACGTGCGGGACGATTGTCGTGTGAATCTCATTGGGGAGATACTTCCTGTCTCTGGGGGCACCCTGACCTATTCAGAGACACCGGATGTCAGGACATTAGGAGAATCTCCAAAACCGAGACACATTACAAGAAGTGATACAAACTGGACAAAGGTCGTGGCCCCAATTTATTTAAAAAATACTCTCTGTATCTCCCTTTAGGAGTTTTCCCCTCCAATATTCTCCAAATGACAGAAGAACAGGAAGTGAGGGGACAACTCTCCAAAGAGAGCGCAGGCACAGGTAAAAGCTGATGGACGTTCCGTCCTTTTCAAGTATATCCCAAATAAAAAAATTTAAATTTTTTTTTTTAAAAAACCTCTTTTCTATTTAAAACTACAAAAATAATTTTGTCTTTAAAGATACATAAAATGAGAAATACGTAATAGCTTGTACCTTAATCTTTAAGATTTCAGGACTGTACTGCACGGCGTCCCCCCACTCCTGCATCAACTCCGGTGTCGGGAGATTCCTGTACGCGAGTGTGGTCACGTGCTCGCTGGATCCTCCGCGTACAAGAGCAACAAAATCTTCAACAACTTTATTATTGTCGGTCTTTTCTGCAAAGGGATGAAAATGTCAATTGATGAATGGAGACCACTGGGAAAATGGTTACAGGCCGGAACTAGCAGGGTGAGCTTTAAGGGGCGGCACTTCGTCCATTGCATTCCCTTCAGTCTTCTATCTCACCTCCGTCCTCCCCTTCAGTCTTCTATCTGACCTCCGTCCTTCCCTTCAGTCTTATATCTGACCTCCGTCCTTCCCTTCAGTCTTCTATCTGACCTCCGTGCTTCCCTTCAGTCTTATATCTGACCTCCGTCCTTCCCTTCACTCTTCTATCTGACCTCCGTGCTTCCCTTCAGTCTTATATCTGACCTCTATCCTCCCCTTCAGTCTTCTAGCTGACCTCCGTCCTCCTCTTCAGTCTTCTAGCTGACCTCCTTCCTCCTCTTCAGTCTTATATCTGACCTCTATCCTCCCCTTCAGTCTTCTATCTGAGCTCCTTCCTCCTCTTCAGTCTTCTATCTCACCTCCGGCCCTCCCTTCAGTCTTCCATCTGACCTCCGTCCTTCCCTTCAGTCTTCTATCTGACCTCCGTCCTTCCCTTCAGTCTTCTAGCTGACCTCCGTCCTTCCCTTCAGTCTTGCACAGTTGTACCGCCTCCTCTCCTGGACTGGAATGGCTTCCTCTGATATCACTGCACACTGGGAGCTTCTCACAATGTGTATTAAAAGCTGCAGCAAGTCAAACAGAGCCCGCCCCCCTGGCTGGTTGATGACCAGCATCATCTAGCACTTTTCTCCCAAGCATTGCTGTCCCTGACTCGCCCCTTTCATTAATTGGATTTCAATTCTTTCAATCATAAAGCCTCAGTATCACATATGGGCATTAGCTTGGGTGGTTTGCATGCAAATACAGCCTGCCTGGGAACGCCCACTCTCCCATGCTGACACCCACCCATCATTTGATATTTGCATACATCCTCTCAAGAGCCAGCCCACTGCTTGCAACAGGCCAAAAGTAGGGCAAACGGAGTACAGCGTAGAGACTTTGGGATCTTGGCATCGTTACTTACCGCTCACAGAGAGGTCATCAGGGGGGCCCTATCACCTTTTTGTTATGGGGCCCCCGTGATCCGTAGTTACGGCCCCGGTCATTAAAATGTGGTTTTGATCTCCTGCCAGTCCCCGGATATCCTTATTTCAGGATTTTATAACCGGTGAAGCTCTGAAATGCTATAACCGGCTTCTCACCTCCGATCTCTTTCAAAAGCCCATCGCACTGGTCGAAAGTCATACTGCCGCTAATGTAAACGCCGCAGACGTTGCCGCCGAGAGAAAATCCCAGGTTCAGGCAAGATTTCACATCACTTAAGGAGTAACCTGCGGAGTACAAAAAAAAACAAAACAAAAAAACTATAAAGAGGACCTGTCTGTTTTTGAATATCTTAATTGAATAATGATGATTATTATAAATACAAATAAATAATTACATCCAAGTTTATTTTGTATATCGCAGGCATTTATATAGCGGCAACATATTACGCAGCACTTTACTTCATATTCATTCACATCCTTGCCGCCATGGAGCTTGCACTCTAAGGGCCCTGCGTCACATATATAAATATTGGAGCCGATTTAAAAAGGTGGGTGAAAAGAAACTGGAGCAGCGGTGGCCCTGAGAGGTACCCCCACCCCCACTCAGAAGCCCCTGAATCTCTATATACACAGTAAGGAGTATAGCGCACACTGATCTCTATATACACATTGATCTGTATATACACAGAGATCTCTATGTACACAGGAATCTTTGCTGATCTGATTGTCTCCCCGTACAGTCCGGATTCTATACTCGGATACATTGCATCTCTCAGCTGCTCTCCTCCATCTCCAGCTCCCCTCTGGTTCTCTTGGCATGGCTCTCCCCTATCCTCTACCACTGCCTGTTACTATGGACGTGGTCCACAAACCATCCGACCCCATCTCCCCCAGCTCAGGGTCCCAGGGACCCTGCACTGCCCCGTATTCCACCAATGGGGGGGGTGTCCGGGACCAGATCTCAGTGGCCACACCGGTGGTAGGTGCGCACCTGAACTGGAGTACTCGAAGGAAATCCATGCAAGCACAGGTAGACCATCCAAACTCCATGCAGAAGCTGTCAGAACCCATCTCCCCCAGTTCAGAAGCCCATCAGACCCCCCTCAGGGCCCCAAGGACCCTGCACTGCCCCATATTCCACCAATGGGGGGAGTTCCCAGGACCAGATCTCAGCGGCTACACCGGTGGTAGGTACGCCCCTGAACTGGAGTACCCAAAGGAAATCCATGTAAGCACAGGGAGACCATGCAAACTCCATGCAGAAAGTGTACTGGCCGGGACTGATGGCATTATCTAAGTCACTGACAGGACAAAGATGACTTTTTTTGGGAAGTCATACTATCGCTGTGTATAGTGATCAGCAGACTGAGAGGTGCACCTATCCAAATGTTTCTGAATACCTCATCAATTATAGTTACTGAGCTGGTTTGACATTTCTATCATATATATCAAAAAATCCATTTGACTCAATGTAAGAAAAAATACCATCCCCCCTTCCCCTCCCCCTCCCACCCCCCAGCATATGAGACTTTGTATTTCAGAATAGTATTTTAGTATTTTTCCTGTTACTCTTGAAATGTTACCTTCGTTCTTCACGTGCTCTTTGTTGAGGATGAGCGTATATTCATAGACTCCGCCCAGCGTGGCCTCAGTGATATAATGGGTCCCGTAGTCCCTGAAAAGGTCCCGGTATTCGCCGTAGACGTATTCCATCGGCAGCTGTTTCACCCTCTGGAAGAACTCCGAGTGCAGCATCAGTCCGCGGGACTTCAACTTGTATTTCGCCACCTCCAGATCCGACCGAGCGCTGATGAGCGAGCTTTGCTGAAATACCCATTAGACTTTTATTACTCTGTAGGTCCTTAAATGGTATCTGTACCGTAAACACACATTAATTGTGAACCAGTGTGCTGCGCTTGGTATTGTGATACGTGCTATATTTATACCACAAACGAAACCAATATAAGTGATCAAAATTGTAAACACACATTACTTTCACTGATACAATTGATATGGTTCTACAGATATAACCCCTTACCTCTTCCTTTTCCTTCCTTCTGCTTTAATTGTTGCCATCACAGGCTCAGCGCAGTGAAAACATTGCAATGTGTAAATACAGTCTGTCTGTTGTCTGCACTATTACTGCAGACAAGGACTGGGATCAGGGAAAGTATTTGTTCCACATTCCTGTTTGTTTTAATGTCTTTGCTGCCAGAAACCATAAATGAGTATAGCTCTGCTGCACGTGTGTAATCACTGTAGATCACAAACTGCCAGAAATCATAAATGATGGTTTTTTTGCTGCACTGCACTCGTGTAGTCACTGCACAACACAAACTGCAAGAAGGCAGAGCAAAGCACCGCCCACCCCCCTATCCCATGTGATTTCAGATATAATATTGTGGAAAGCAGTGAGCACATCTAGAGGGATCCCTTATGTATTTTTCTATTCTGAACTGCAGTCCTGGTCTGTGGTCCCTGCTAAGGTGGCTACACCTAGAGCTAGGCACACTGTTCAGTCCTTCTTTTGTCATTGCAATCACCTAACTGGAGCTACAGAATAGCTTTTTTAAAGCGTATCTAAACATCAAAGCAAAAATGTAATATATTGCAGTTCACCAGTCCTTGAATGCGATGGTTGTATACGTTTCTTTTTTCGGGATTTTTTCAAATTGTATTTTCACCTGATGACCCTTCCCATGATACATTCGCTGTCCTAGGGTGGCAACTTTCACTCAAACTACTGTATCAGGGCAACAGAAATAGGACAGGGCTACAGACACCACCCCTCTCCTCATCTCCATAACATACATGGGTAGTCTTCAGCGATAACTGTACACAATGTAACTGATAAGAGTTCAACACAGGCAGAGTGTACAGGAAGTTATTGTAAGGGCAAAATGGAGGCCGCTCATGCGCGCATACCATATCTCCATATGGCCGGAAAACGCGTGCAAACCAGAAGTGAGCAAAAACACACGCAATGGCTGTCGCACAGGAAGTGATGCTGCTACCTGGTTAAGCTCACCATATAAAAACGAACCTGCCCCTGCTCCATTGCTGATGGTCTTTTCAGCTAGTGTTCCCGTGTGCTTGTACCTGTTGGATTCCTGTGACCTGCCTGACCCGGTTTGCTTGGACTTTGCTATTGGATTGCTGCCTGCCCCTGACCTCGGCCTGTTTTCTGGACTTTGCCTTCTGCCTCCTGATTTCCTACTCTGCTGAGTGTCCGGCTGGCTCCAACCTCTGGCTTTCCTGACTACGCTCCAGTCTCCGGTTCCTGCTCCACGCCATCTGCTCGGTGGACCTGACTACACGTCATCAGGACGTCTCCTGCACAGTGTCAGTTCCCATCAGTGGCACTCCTGCTCCTCGCTGTCCAACTGCTCCCTGTTCCCACCTCCAGGGGGCGGAAGGACACGAGTCGCAAGAGAAGCCTCCTCACCTTCCGGTCTCTTACCAGGTACGTGACAGTTATCAACTGATTCCTGGCAGGGATTTTTTGCACATATCAGACAGATAGATGAAAATACTTTCAATGGGATATTTAACTGACCCAAATGAAGCAAAAAGGAGTAGTTCATTGTTAGGGTAATGCCAAAAGTGCAATTTTTGGGCCGAAATAGCGGTTCATCCGTTCTTTCTCTCCTCCCTACTGGGCGCTGCTCTGTGTCCCAGCGGGGAGGAGAGAAACTGTGACAGCCGGCCGAGCACTGCGGGAGGAGAGCGCTGTGAGCGGCCGGCGTCTTTCCTCCCCGGACCGCTCAGCCTCCTGTGACAGATCAGGAGAGCGGCGGTGTGGGCAGAGATAGCCATTGATGTCACATGAGGCTGAGCTCTCTGATACTGTGATGATATACAATGTACTGTGACATGTCAGGACCTTATTCATAGAAACTGGTAAAGGTATTAAAAACTCCACTTTGAGCAACTGAGAGCAACTTATAACTAAGGCCTAGTTCACACCTGGGTGTTTTACTGTGCGTTCCTACACGCTGTAAAACCGACTTCCGAGGTTCCGTCCCTTGCGAGCGGCTGCATCGCAGGGGGGCGGAGCCGTTGGGAAGTTTAAAATTGAAAAATAAAAAGTTATTTTTTAAATAGAGAAAAAAACAAAAAAAAATCATACCGCCAGTGAAACGCGCATTTCACTGAACGAAAAAACGCGAAAAAAACGAGCATAAAAAAACGCTTAGGTGTGAACCGAGCCTAAGCAACATGAATATAATCACTTATTACCAATGAAGGATCCCCTTACTCATTGAGTTGCTGAGCAGTAGCCGCACCCTTGGTAATAAAATGCATATGAAGGATGAATTCTGATTGGCTGATATCAACTCCCACACTTCGTGCGTTTCCTTTATTCCTATCATACATCTGACCATCTTGTCAGCAACACATGGGCACGCCAAACAATTCAGACCCAACCCGCCTCCGGTATTTACTAGACTTGTGCGCCGTCAAAAAATGTGTTCCGTTTCGTTTTCTTCCGTTTCGTAATATCCATTATTTCGTATTTCGTAATAGCGGAATTTTGTATTTTGGACATAAATTCGTAAACTGCCATTCGGATTTCGTATGCTTACGAATCTACGAATTTCAGGAAAATTCGTACGAATTTCGATTCGTAACGAAACGAATCGCACATGTCTAGTACTTACCGTGTGTGAAAATTTCTTCGTCCTCTCCACAAACTTTTTAAACTTCATATCGCTGTAACTGAATCCGATCTCGAACACCTCTGGGATGCTGAAGCCGAACTTGAAGCTTGTTTGTTTCGCATGAGCGCTGGAGAAGTCTCTTTCGAAATCAGAGTACGAATCGTGTTCAGATAGTGAAAATTTGTATTCGCCTTTGGCCTGCACAGAGAAATATGAATGGTGAGCTCAAGCTGAACTGAACACCCGACTCCAGCCAAATACACAAACTGTTATTGTTTGGAACGGGCGAGGAAGAGCTAAAACCTCTGTCAACCTTGTACAGTAAACTCCCCGTTATCCGGCATCCACGGGTATGGGTAGATTCCAGATAAAAGTAGTTTCTGGTTGCTTGAGAGTTACTATTAAAAATAGGTCTAACTAATTGCATTCTCCATACTATATCATAACATAAACTCTGTATTGACTTCATATTAATATTGAAATGCAGTCATCAAAAGAAAATTATGACAAATAGGCACACAAACGTTTCCAGGATAATACATGCCTCACATCAGCAAAACAGTGAGTACACTGGGCATTTTTTTTCTGGTTAGATGAAAGTTCTGGTTAGTTGAATACCGGATAACTGAGAGTTTACTGTACTACCATCTGTACTTCTTTAAGAGATTTAAAAGAGGTCTATTTGATGAGGGGTAGGTAGAACATGAAAGAAGTACAGAAAGAGTGTGTGCCATGATGTACATATTATAAAGCAAATATAAACACAATATTGATATTCTCTTCGTGAAAAATAGTAAAAAAATTTTACGAAATTGTAAAAAAAAAAGTAGAATGGTAAAATGTAGTAAAATATCTATAAATAATACAAAAAAAGGAGGAGGAAGAGGAGGAAAAGGAGGACAAGAAGGAGAAGGAGAAGAAGGAGGAGGAGGAGAAGGAGGATGAGGAGGAAGAGAAGGAGAAGGAGGAGGAGGAGGAGGAGAAGGAGAAGAAGAAGGAGGAGGAGGGGGAGGAGAAGGAGAAGAAGAAGGAGGAGGAGGGGGAGGAGAAGGAGAAGAAGAAGGAGGAGGAGGGGGAGGAGAAGGAGAAGAAGAAGGAGGAGGAGGGGGAGGAGAAGGAGAAGAAGAAGGAGGAGGAGGGGGAGGAGAAGGAGAAGAAGGAGAATGAGGAGGAAGAGAAGGAGAAGAAGGAGAAGGAGGCGAAGAAGGAGGATGAGGAGAAGAAGGAAAAGTAGAAAAAGGAAAAGGAGAAGGAGGAGGGGATGGTGGAGTCGGAGAAGGAGAAGAAGGGGATGGAGGAGTCGGAGAAGGAGAAGAAGGAGGAGAAGAATGGGATGGAGGAGTAGGAGAAGGAGAAAAATGAGAAGAAAAAACAAGAAAAGTAGAAGAAGTAGAAGGAGGAGGTGAAAAAGGAGAAGGAGGAGGGGAGGAAGAAGAAGGAGGAGAGGAAGAAGAAGGAGGAGAGGAAGAAGGAGGAGGGGAGGAAGAAGGAGGAGGAGAGGAAGAAGGAGGAGGAGAGGAAGAAGGTGGAGGGTAGGAAGAAGAAGGAGGAGAGGAAGAAGGAGGAGGAGAGGAAGAAGGAGGGGGAGAGGAAGAAGGAGGAGGGGAGGAAGAAGGGGGAGGAGAGGAAGAAGGAGAAGGAGGAAAAGGAGAAGCAGAAGAAGAGAAGAATGAAAAGGAGGAGAAGGAGGAGAAGAGGGAGAAGAAGGAGAAGAAGAAAAAGATGAAGAAGAAGGAGAAGGAGAAATAAATATAATTTTATGTTAATATATTATGTGTTAAATACTAATCTATAAAACATGGAAAAAGTGTATAAAAATGAACAAAATTAAAAAAAGACCTCCATGGCTACCGGCTGACAGAGAGCTGCCTCCAAAATGTATATGAAAAGCCTCATGCATCCTGTTTAGGAGAATTCTGCAGGAAAGAGTATGTGGAAGGGGGAAGTGAGGAGCGTATTGATGATTCAGATGATTTATCAGGCCACTGTTTCCCTTTTGGGAGGGCTGCCGCCATTTATGATTGATTTTTATTGACATCCAGGCATTGGAGACTCACCTAATCCTGACACAATGATAGAACTGATTTCAAATGACACACTGCAGCATAAATCCTGAAGTCAACATTGAGCGAGTTATAAGTTACCAACTTACATCGGTGATATAACTTTCCACATTAAACGGTTTTCTAAACCGAGTGCCCAGGATGTAGTGTGGAGCGCAGCCGCCGCCATAATAACGGTGATCAAACACTAACCCTTCCCGCAAATTCGTGAACAGATTCAATCTGAAAGAAATTTTAAAATGTATGAAAAAAAAAATGTATTATGACGAATTAATACTTGTTGCAGTTTCTTCCAATAAATAATTGTCTATATTAAATTAAAAAACAGTTACAATTTGTAGGAAGAATTATCATATAAATGCATTTAAGCATAAATATATAAATAATGGCGCAGTGACATTCTGGGTCCCAAAACAATGACATGGTGCTTGTCGAACCAGAACAATAACAAACTAATACTTGAGGTCCCAGATAGTAACAAAGTGACACTTGGTGGTCCCAGAACAATGACACACTGACACTTCGGTGTCCCAGAACAATGACACACTGACACTTGGTGGTCCCAGAACAATGACACACTGACACTTGGAGGTCCCAGAACAATGACACACTGACACTTGTGAATCCAAGAACAATGTCACACTGACACTTGGGGGTCCCAGAACAATGACACACTGACACTTGGGGGACCCAGAACAATGACACACTGACACTTGGGGGTCCAGATCAATGACACACTGACACTTGGGAGTCCCAGAACAATGACACACTGACACTTGGAGGTCCCAGAATAATGACACACTGTCATTTGGAGTCCCAAAAGAAAAACTCTGACGCATAAAGGTTCTAGACCACTGACATATTGGCATCTGGAGGCCCAGAAGAATGGCGCATTGACTCTTGGGCTCCCAAAACAATGAAAAACCCACACATAGGGTCTAAGATAAAAGTACAGTAGCTCTTGGTGCCCCAAAATAATAATGCTTTGACACTTTTGGTCTTAGCTCCAAAGCAAACTGACACTTGGGATCCTAGAAAATAGCACACTGACTCTCTGGTTGCCAAAACAATGACATGCTGACATTTGCGGTTAAATAATAATGTCAGAATGACATTTAGGGACCCAGGAAAAATAAGACATTGACAGGAATGCAATGACGCCATGCTCTGTACGTGGTAGCCCATTGGTACTGGCGCTTTGGTACATACCTGGGCTCTTAGAACCCGACCACATGGTATTATATCAGAGGTACCTACCCCGACGCCAGGTTTTCAATGGCCCAGTATTCCTCCATCTTATCCGTACATGGACTCCGGATAGACTTACAGTTCTTCTCATCAGAGGAATCTCCACAGTCGTCATCTCCATTACACATCAGTCTTCGAGGGACACACTTTCCTGGAGTATATAACAAAATATCAATAGTCAGGGCACAGCTACATTGATTTTTGAGCAGTGAGAATAATAAGAGATTGAAATCTCATGCTAGGAGTCTATTTATCTCTATTGCTATGATTTGCTTGTCACCCGGCACATCAATCTCAGACAGTCATACAATTCTGCAGTTTAGCAACAACTCAAAACGTTTTAGTGATCTGCATTCTCCACCTAAGTAATAAGGGATAAAGTGATTTATTTCAAACTCTCCTCATTCGAACATTTCTTACATTTTGACCTATAAAGAGCCAGACTTCTGCATTAAAAATACAGGTCATGGCTGAGGAAGCCTTATCATAAGCCATCACGTTTCTTGCAGCCAGTAACATATTCCTATACATAGTAAGGTTCCAAACTGTTGCCCTGCCTGCCAGAGCAACCTGAGCCGGGTTTATATTGACCTGCTGTCCTGTCCTTTCCTCTACCTCTTTTATATGCTTTTGGATTAAGTGGATATATACCTGTATACTCTATATTAGACATGTGCCATTCGTTTCGTTCCAAATTGAAATTCGGAGATTTGGATGTATCCGAATTCCGAATTACAGATATGACGAATGCAAACGAATCCGAATTTCCGATTCCGAAATTTAGTTGCAGCAAAGTGACATTTGAGGGGAAAAAAAATGTTTTCCTCTTAAATGTCACCTCGCTGCAACGAACGCACGAAAACGAAACGAACGTTCGTACAGACTACCGCTAACGAATTTCACCCGAATCTGGAACCCAAATAAAATTGGCTTACGGACCTGAATCCCAAAAAACAAAATAACGCAAAATCCGAATCGCAACAAAACACATTTTTTGCCAGTGCACATGTCTACTCTACAGTATATGACTAAACGTGTGTGGGCATCTGGCCATCGCACCTAAATGAGCTTGTTGGAAATCCCATTTTAAAGGAGAACTATGGGGTTAAGGCTTTTGCCCATAGTTCTCCTTAGGGTAACGGGAGGACACAAACTAGCATCCTCCCATCACCCTAGGCTCAGTATACCACGAGCTGTAGCTCACGGTATACTGAGATGCCGCAGATGAAGCGGATCCCAACAATTATGTCTGGATCCACTCAGCTGCGTGAGTGACAGCTGGCTCTGCCTATCTAGAGGTAGAGCCAGCTGTACCCGCCCCCTCCCTGTCCGTTCCACCAGTCAGCGCTGGAGGATCGGAGCGGGGAGGGGGGAATCCAGCTCCTCCCCTGTCACGGCAGGATCGAGAGGTGAGCGAACGCCGGTATGTGTTCGCTCACCTCCCGATCTACTAAGCCGACCTGCGACAGTCTCATTGTCCCAGGTCGGCTAGAACTATGAGGTGAGTGAAAAGCACCCACCTCATAGTTCTCCTTTAATCAATGTGCAGTAATATGAAGCTGACCCCTATCTTTGTGAGTAGAACAGCCCCTGGTGGGAAGGCTTTTCACAAGATTTTGGAGTCTGTGGGGATTTGTACCCGTGCACACAAAAGAATATTTGTGAGGTCAGGTACTAATGTTAGATTGAGAAGAGCTTACTTGCAATGAGTGTTCCAAATTAATTTCAAAAGGTGTTCAATAGAGTTGAGGTCAGGGCTTTCTGCAGGCCACTCGGGTTCCTCCACCCCAGTTGGTGTGAAGATGGCTTGGTGCACAAGGACACAGCCATGCTGGAACAGAAAAGGTCATTTTCTGGTTCCAACCTGTTGCCACAAGGTTAGAAGTGTCTAAAACATCTTGGAATGCTGTAGGAACAGTAGACTATAGTGGAAAGACCTGAAATCCATTGTTTGGAGGGGTGTCCACATATCTTTGTAGGTTCCTTTGTATCACTCTCTACAGCCTGTTTTCTTTTCAGTCGGAAAAGCTGAGATGGAAAGCTTGATGTCCTCCTTCACACTCACAAGGTGGGTGGACAGCACGTTGAGTCCCAGGAAGTTTGAAATTACTGGGAGCCATTGCATTGAGTAGCTGATCCCTTTTTGTGGTTTATACTGTTTAAAAGATGGACTTCTGCAGCCCAAAGTACTGTTCGCTTACAGTATACATTTATACATTGTGAGTGTGATATCTAGAGCTGACCTGCCAGCATATTGGGGTGACAGTTTGCTCCATTTATCTGGTCACCTGCTCTAGGTGTACTGACACAGAGCAGGGAAACTGTCCCTTTCACAATCTTTTTAGAAGCTTTGATTGCACTTTTCCCCTTGTTTACTGCACCAGCATGAAGGTTGAAGCTGGGACCCTTGGACATCCCCCCAGGTTCTTGGCTTCTGTCTAGGTTGCCTCATCTTGTCCTGCTCTGCCGTCATCAAAATGTACCCTACCAAATGCAACTGCAGGAGCACCAAAGGATAGTCGGTGTTGGTCAGTTCCTGGACAGTAGGGGGTCTGCCCTTGCAGGGTGCATATTGGCTAATTGTTATGGTAAGCTCAGAGTACCTGTCAGGGTTTACCGCTCTCCTCTGAGAATCCCAGCCAGGACTTCCAGGAGATCCTCTACTAATGGATCTCACAGGCCAGTACGGCTGATAATAGTAATAGAGTCCAGACCAGGACTTCCAGTGTACCCTGAGACTGGGTGTGTCGTCTCTGATTCAGAGGGGTATTTAAGCATTAGCTCTGCAAGGAGCTGGTGCTGCGTCTTTATGCCAGCTTCCTGTTTGTGAAAGAGCTTATCCTTCTGCTTTCATTGGAGACCTCCTGTTCTCGTCCATCCCTTGGCAGGGCAACACTGGGGACCACGACCTACTACCCACAAGCAGCCTGGCCCATCTCCACCATCAGGAGCTCTGGTGAACACCGGCTGGTACTTAGACTCCGCCCCTCAGGTAAGCCTGTGTCACCTGCCAGGGGGTGTCACCCTAACACTAATGCATTAAACCTCTTTGAGGACATTATGAAGACATCTTTGAGCAAGACTAAGTGCACATCTTTGCGCAAGACTAAGTGCACATCTTTTCACATTCCTAGATGTAGAATGGTGATTGGTCAGATAAACAGATTCTCACCAGACTCGACACACTGGAAGCCTTCACATCTCTTGGTGTTCCTGCAAGGGCTGCTGGTCGCACACGACTCCTCCTCACGGTCTATGACATCACACCGCTCGCCGCGGAACTGTGGCACGTGCGTCATTTGAGTAAATCGATACTGTGCAAATTAAAGACAGTTCAGAAGAATATACCTTTCCAATGCCCGTGCCTCTAAAAACCATCTATGAACAATGCGTCAATATTTCACACTATGACTAGAGCCTATAATGATTGTTAGCATGGGTGGGGGGTATTTACTAAACTGTACAACAGGCTGCAGTTTAAACCGGCAGAGGTCCTAACCCTGACCCATTGTAGGGTACCGTAGAGAGCTAAGATGTAACTTTGATAAAGAATTGTGTAAATTCTTCCTCGTATACATAATCCCTCACTCTGCTCCCAGGCCTGTTCCTCCTCGACTTTCAGCATCGAGTGCTGGCTCTAACCACGTGCTCGTCTGAGCTGGCATGTATCGCATTCCCCCTTCCCAAAAAAAAAGACCCTGCTCCAAATTTCTTCACACCGCAACTGGTTATTAAAAATGCTTATTCAATTTATGAGATGATGAACAACGCTCTTGGTCTCCTTTCTATGAGACAGTTTATTCACTAATAGCTTTTTCATAGAGCATCTCTATGAGTAAGCTTGATGTGGGTGAAACGCGTCAGTATCAGGTGGATTGTCCATAATTTCGTAAACTGAATAAAGATTACTGAGGTGTAAAGAAGTTCAGAGAGCATCGCCCATTTTTTTGTGTGTCCCTCAATTTTTTGCCGTGTATAATGATAATGGAGCGGCAGATGTAGCTGATAATGTGCTTCCTCCAAAGAAGCATTGGGTGCATTGTGTGGATTACTCCCTGGAGCTAAAATTTAGAACGACCTTGGACATCAGAGTGTTGGTGATCTGTTTAAGCCCTCTTACCAAACTCAGGATTTTCAGTACTTACTCTCTTTTTTTTACACGGGTCACACCCGCTCCAAGATGACCAACTGGACATCACGCAGTCTATAGGCGTTGGCTCATTTATCACCGATCTCACCCATCGCTTCTTTGTAAGGCCATTGTTGGCTTTGCTTCCTTGTAGCTCACAACTACATGTGCAGAAAATACAATATAATATTAACTCTTCCTTAAAGTGAATCTGTTACTTCGCACAAATATATAACAAATGGGAATGGCTCCGCTTATACATGTATAGCTCTTGAATGCCCCCTATGTGTGTCCAGAAGCTCAATAAACTTATTTTATGTAACGCACGCTAAAAGATTCTGATAGAACTGACATTTAAAGTGGAGCGGGGAACATTTTTTCACACACAGCTGTCCTGCCTGTTTGGTCATGTTATAGACTAAAACTACCAATTAATAATTTCACGGGGCAAACATGGTGGCCCATGTCCAAGCAGGTTTGTCCGGCACTTTTGTTCAGCACGGCAGCAAATAAATTCAGTTCAATGCAGGAGGGCTTTATACAACAAGTCCACAGTAAAAAATAAAACATTTACTCATCCTAACCACTAACTAAACTCAGGTCAGCTCCTAAATAATAGGGTGTCCCCTAATGGGTTCCCCAACACACACAGGCAGCACATGCTCCTTTTTAGTGTTCTGTCAGCATGCAGCCTTTTCACCCAGCAGCAGCAGAGAGAGAGAGAGAGAGCCCTGAGCATCAGTCAGCTCACATATATAAAGGCCTATGGACAGCTGAGACTAATAATGAGGTCTGGCAAACAGGTAAGATGTGGACTTAGGAATGGAGGCTTTATCCCACCCAAAGCTCTACAAAGCCTCCGGGCTCCAAGACCCAGAGCTTGACTTAGTTTGTTTCCTCCATATCGGGCAAAAATCTTGGAAACCCTCAACATGAGTATATAAGAAACCTTGATGACCCATATACACCATCCACAATACTGCCAGCTATTCCCACACAGTATAAAAAGAGGCACTTCATAAAATGTTATATTTATTATAATATTATTTTATATTATTATTATTTAACCTTTTTCCTGATCAAATATTATCTGCATAAGAAAACCAATATAATAATTTCAGCCTCTCCGAGGACATACTTTTTGGCTGTACTTCACCAATATCTAAACATTTGCCATAAGTAAATATTCAAATATAATATATACTGTATAAATATACATTGAGTGGCCAGATTATTATATACACTGAGTGGCCCAGATTATTATATACACTGAGTGGCCGGATTATTATATACACTGAGTGGCCAGATTATTATATACACTGAGTGGCCAGATTATTATATACACTGAGTGGCCGGATTATTATAGCTCCACCACAACATTGGACACCAAGTAAAACTGAATGCTTACCATGGCTGCTTTCAGGTCCTGTGAGCGCCTTTCTTTTCTATGCCTATATGATTTCTTTATTTTGTGGGAGGCATATTTTATTTTACATGTACATGGAACAGCTCTTTGGTTTTGTAATATACATATACAGGTGAAACTCGAATAATTAGAATATCGTGCAAAAGTAATTGCAGTAAGTTCTGCAAAAGGGGCCCAAACCAAGTACTGAGTACATATGCATGCTTGTACTTTTCAGAGGTCCGATATTGTTCTATGTACAATCCTTGTTTTATTGATTGCATGTAATAATCTACTTTTTTGAGGTTGTGGATTTGGGGTTCTTGGGGTTTTCATGAGCTGTAAGCCATAATCATCACAATGATGACAAATCACGGCTTGAACTATCTTGCTTTGCATGTAATGAGTCTCTCTCATATATTAGTTTCTCCTTTTAAGTTGCATTAGTGAAATAAATGAACTTTGCACGATATTCTAATTATTCGAGTTTCACCTGTATATATAAACATATATAACGATATACTTTACAAACACCCCCAATCATTTCTAAATGGATAATAATAAATGTTTACTAACCTGGTCAAATAAAAGGCAAAATTCAGCAGGACAGCATAAAATAACATGATAACAGCGTGCAATCCTCTCTTCAGTCGCAGGCTCTTCTAAATGCAGGGAATTACCAGCGTCACACAAAAAAGTAAAAAGTGACCAATTCGGTGAGTGGGACTAAGCAGCCACCAGAGTAATGGTATGAGAGCGCCATCTTGTGGCTGCTGTAGTGCTACGCTGGCCAGTTTGGGTCACTACCAAGATAGATGAGGAAGCAAATATAAATATTACAAAATCAAAGGGGTTGATTTACTAAGACGGTAGAGCAGGGATGGGCAACTCCGACCGTCCAGCTGCTGTGGAACTACAAGTCGCATGAGGCATTGCAAGATTGACAGTTACAGGCATGAGGCAGAGAGATTTGTATTTAAAGCACAGCTGGAGAGCCAGAGCTGTCCACCCCTGCAGTAGAGAGTGATCACTAAGCAAACATTAATGACAGTGAATAAGAAAAACCCAATCATGATCTATGGGAAATAAAACTGTACGTAGGGCCAACATTTTTCTTTTGTAGTCTTGGATGAAGCATAGAAGAGTTAGAAACCCTGCATGAGTTTATTGCTGACCCACTAGGGAGATTCACCCTCTCTGTTTGTCCTGGTGAGTCACCATTGTCCCTGAGACAGAAATTGATGGATAATCCAAAATGAAAGAGTTGTCACCAGAACAGGGAGGGAAGCTAACTCTCCCAAATGGAGACACCTATTCTGCTGACTGCTGTCTAAGATGGTGGTTAGCCTCACTTCGGAGAGTTTTCCTCTCACTTCCTGTTGCAATCTGGAAGTGAAGGGAAATGTCCAACAGGAGTCACAGATGTAAAAAAATAAACTGATGAGGGATTAACCCCTCACTACTCTTCAAAATGACCAAAAAAGCCTTGAGCTATACATTTATCTGTCAACCGGAGAACATCGAAATCAATATTTACATCTTAAATTTAAAACAATGAAACAAAGTTGAAGTATTTTCCGGAAGGAGGAAGTGCTGGAAGAGACATTTTCTTAAAGGAGAACAATGAGGGGGGTGCATTTCACTCACCTCATAGTTCTAGCCGACCTGTGACAATGAGACTGTCACAGGTTGGCTCAGTAGATCGGGAGGTGAGCGAAGACATACCGGCGTTCGCTCACCTCTCGATCCTGTCACTGCTCTCTGCCGTGACAGGGGAGGGGCTGGATTCCCCCCTCCCCGCTCCCATCCGCCAGCGCTGACTGGCAAATCAGACGGGGGAGGGGGCGAGTACAGCTGGCTCTGCCTCTAGGTTATTTATTACAGGTATTTATACAGCGCCGACAATTTACGCAGCACATTTGCATCAGTCCCTACCCTCAAGGAGCTTACAATCTAAGGTCCCCATCTCACATGCATACAGAGGGCCAATCTTTTTTTTAGAGAGGAGCCAATTAACCTTCCAGCGTATCTTTGGAGTGTAGGAGGAAACTGGAGAACCCGGAGGAAACCCATGCAAGCACAGGGAGAACATGCAAACTCCTTGCAGAGAGTGACCTGGCCAGGATTTGAACCAGAGACCTGCAGTGCTGCAAGGCAGAAGGGCTAACCACTACACCACTGTGCTGTGAATTTCTTGCAACAACTAAACTGAATCGAGCATGTGACTTTTCTGGCCAATCAGATCTGTTTTTCGATTTAATGCATCCGAATGGGTCTGAACACAAATTTTTGTTACGGCAACATGAGAGCCATATAGTATATGGCTCCCTTGTTGCTGTAAGGAAAATTTGCGTACAGTATATATAGGATCACGAATTTCCGAATTGTATTTGTGAGCTTTTGAATGCCATTCTGGTCTGGGAGCCATATACATATATTACTAAAGCTGAGGCTCCCAGACCCGAATGGCATTCAGCAACTCCCGCATGTAATTCGGAAATTCGGATCCTGGATGCCATTTGGGTCTAGGAGCCTCAGCTTTAGTAATAATATCTGTATACGGTTTTCTGTGGTAGGCGTAACGAATATTCGTAAACTCATCCGAAACTAACGAAAAATTCGGATTTCGATTGAATCCGAAAGCCAAACTGAATTGAATTTCGGATCCGAATCCCGAATTCTGAAATAACTAAATATCCGAACCGAATTTTGCCGCAGCTTACAGGTCTACTAAAGTGCGAACATTTAGGGAGGAACTAAATACTGCAAATTGCTTCAAATGAAAATGTTTGCTGATCCTAACATAGGAGACGGCTGCAATCTCTGTTTATATGGACTTAGCTTGGACTCACGCAGAGAGGTTAAATATTGACAGCTGATGGTAATGCCTTTTTCTTAACTTTACTATTGTGTTACAATTTAGAGAACTGCAAACACCATATAAAGGGACACCATGCAGATTTCTCAGAGGTGACAAAGATCAAAAGGTTTTTTATCTTCGTTTTGCATTGTAGAAGATAACAACAGAGGACACAGTCACCACAATGTCCTACAAAATTGAAACAATAGCTAAATAATGTAACTGTAACACATACCAAGAAAATTTAACAAGCGTTAATACGTTGCTGGGCTGAAATGTTGTTCCCTTTCGTTTTTTGGATACAATGAAAAGCGATTCATGGATACAAGCAAGGGTATGGAAGGGATAAGGCTGCAATAGCAAATGTATTGTATTGTTGTAGGAAATTGGATATTTTATGAAGTAACAATATATTATTGTGCTTTTAATGGAATATGGTGGTTATGAACTGGCTCAAAGGTACCTCAAAAATCCTGGAACCATAAAAAATATATTATAGACGAATGTAATTTGTTGGAATGTGGTACCTATAAAAACTTAACATGCGCTCCAGTGAGTGGTATTCATACAATCTCACATACAGCAGTCGTAAAGCATTTCCACGGTCCCTTTAATGAGGCAGCCTGAGGCTATTGGCTCAGGCGGCATCTCTTTGGGTCATGGGCGGGGGGCGCAGGAAGAGAAGCATGGCCGCTCTGTTGCACAATCTTTGCAGTGTGCCTGCCGCCCCCTTTCTGGCCAGGGCATCCCAGATTGCTCAGAGCCGGATGGGGAGATGTGTAAGGGTCAACTCCTGGCAACCAGTGACATCATCTGGCTCTGCAGATGTGTATCCCACAACCAGGAAGTTTGGGGAATGGTTGTTCTACTGGGGAACCCAAATCATTATTATTATTATACAGGATTTATATAGCGCCAACAATTTAGATTGGGTTGGATAGTTGTAAGGTTGGGGTGGGCCTATTCTCAAGGCGGTAGATTTATTCAATATCTACCTTCAATCCGAAGTCCTCCACAACATGCAGCAATGCACAAAATGTGTTCTCTGATCCATTCACCTAAAGCAACATTTTCTCCTCCATGGGGTCCCAGCAGACACCACCAATGTAAGGCGACTGTCTAATGGAGATAACCATTGGTTTATTGTGGCTATGGTGAATAGTAAAGGTGATAGAGGGGAGCTCTGCCGGGTGCTCCTCTGGAGGGAGAAAGACTTAAAGATACACTGTGTTAGTTTAAACTCTCACTCATAGCTCTATATAAAGAAGCCAGTCCCATTTAAGAAAGAAAGGGCCAAAGCCCAATGAACAAAGGTTTTTAATTCATCCATAAGAAATTACCAAACCACTCTGTTTTGATGAATCAGCACTATGGAAATTCACAGTATCCTTTTATTATTGTGGATACCTTTACCCAGCAATACACTGGATTGGTCTGGAATATTTAGCATGAGAATCACTTGAGATAGATGGAAAGCCAAGATTTTGGCTAATAACTTGATGTCAGTGAGACTCAGTGGGAAGTACCACTTTGCAATTTGAATTTACAGGGTTTAGGCAACAGAACAATAAAGGCAACAGAACAATAAAGGGTTTATTCACAGAGTTTGGCAAACTTTGAAGGCCTCAAGAAAAGCAAAGGGACCAAGCCTGTTGGAGTTGGATTTATACCATTCAATAGGTATTCCATTAAGGTCCGGGGTCTTGTTAGGGTAGAAGGAGTGATTGGTGTTCCCTCTTTACTGACAGGTTTATCGAGAGACAATTTCTGCTCTTGTGTGAGTTGAGGGAGGAGTGGTGGGCTGAAGAAGGCATCAAGATCAAATCTGGAAACTGGAAGGGTTACACATGAGTGGTTGCTTATAGAATTGAGAAAATGCCTTCTTTATATCAGTGACAAAGTTTTATCACTTGTAGATAGTAAATACCGTGCATGATATTAATGTGCAGGGTGTCTAAGAATTATCTGTGCAATTTCAATTCTATATAAAATATTTACAGAAACAAGTTGAATTATTAAACATGGCTATAAGTTGCACATGAATATTCTCAGAGATGCAATGCTTCTGTCATGTTTTATTACAGTCTAGTAGATAGGCAGTAGACATTTTTTATGCTTGGTACATACACCGATCAACCATATCATTATGACCACAGAGAAGTGATGTGTAACATTGATTATCTCATTGCAATGGCACCTGGAAGGGGGGGGGGGATATATTACAATGACACCTGGAAGTGTGGGGGGATATATTAGGCAGCAAGTGAACATTTTGTCCCTGATGTTAAGGTGTTGGAAATAATGGACAAGTGTAAGGATTTGAGGGACTTGACAAGGCCCAAATTTTGATGTCTAGACAACTGGGTCAGAGCAACTCCAAAACTGCAGCTCTTGTGGGATGTTCTCGGTCTGCAGTGGTCAGGACCTACCAAAAGTGGTCCAAGGAAGGAAAACCTGTGTACTGGCAACAATGTCATGGACTACCAAGGCTTATTGATGCATGGTGGGAGCGAAGGCTGTCCTGTGTAGTTCAATTTAATAGAAGTATGGGGATGGCAGGGTGTGTGTGTGTCACTTACCTGGGGAACAGATGGCACCATAATCCACTATGGGAAGAAGCCAAGCCTGTGGAGGCAGTGTGATCCTTTGGGAAATGTTCTGCTAGGAAACATCGGGTCCTGCCATTCATGTGGATGTTACTTTGACTCTTACCACCCCTCTAAACATTGTTACTGACCAAGTACACCCCTGATGGCAGTGGCTTCTTTCAGCAGGATAATGTGCCCTGCCACACTGC